CAATATTCAATTTTGCTTGACAAGAAATTGGAGTGCTTGAAGCAATTGTCAACTTTATCAAAGAGCTCGGGCTTTTTATATAATATAAGTCACACAAAACAACGTAGTTTAGGGATTTAGAGCAACCATGACAAGTTTTAAGGTGTTAATCGTGTAAGGGCTCCATCCACTTTTGAATTAATGCATTATAATCCTTAAATATAGTTTATAATTTTAATTTTGCGCTCCAATTTTATGTATGTTATGTTATCACTGCCTCAAGTTTTATATATTATTTGCATATTTATGTTACTTTACCTTTTTAATTTAATTATTATATTTATACATGGTTTAATACTTTGATTTGTTTTTTTCCTATCTTTTAACGTATATGTATATAATTTTTCTTATGATTAATTATAGGAGTATAATAAACATTTTATGGCTTATTTATATATATATTGATGGTTTTAATTATAAATGGTAAATAAGTATATAAAAAGATGGAAACCTTTTTATTTATGTTATCATATTACGTTATCATAGGTATAATTAATACGTTCGAACTTTAAAATTGGATATCATCAAATTAAAACGTGAATTGGGCTTCATATTTCAGTGCATGAATTGGACTATGGCTAAAATGCACATAAAACGTGAATTGGGCTAAACGTGAATTGTCTTCCGTAAAACATAAAATAAATTGAAAAAATAATTAAATTAGGCGGGCTACTCACGGAGCCCGAGGGTATACCCATTAAACCCACGAATTTAACGGTCTGGGCTAATAAGTTCGTAATTTAAATGAGCTTTATTTTTTGAGGTCCGAAGTCCTCACGGGTCGCGAGTTATACTGGTAGCCCACGGGCCTTAACCCATATACCCAGCTCTAAAAGATTATGATTATATATTCGACTTTTGATAGATATAAAAATTTAATAAAAAGTAATAAAGAATACACTAATTACCCAATCAGACCCTCGTCTGAAATCCCTCAAACCCTAAAACCCCCAAATTTCCTTAACCCCATCCTCATCGACCCCTCCTCGATTCTCCATCGTCCGACCACCATTGCACGCACCGTTCCCACTGCTCGGCTCTCCATCATCCAGCTATCAAAGACCATCCGTCAATACGGCGAAATTCATCGTCTTTCGTCGCGAATCGACGCTTGAGTGTGCGTTGAGGAGAACCAACCGCCACAGTTTTTTTTAGATTTCGGTCGAATCCGTCGTCGGATCGTCTCACCACCTCCTCAACTAGCCTCATCGTTGTCGTCCGCACAAAACCCAATCGGGTTCATCGTCCAAAACACTCCCGTCGCCGATCGCCTTTTTTGTATGCTTCGGTTTATATTTCGAGTATTTCCCTTTATTTTGGGTTGAATAATGATCGTTCATGAGTCAATTGTTATTGTGTGTTGCTCCCGGAGTAGACGGCCGCCCTCAGCAGCCCTTGTTGCCACCGACACGCGCAGTCACGCGCGGGCAGCGCGCGTGGGTCTGTCCACCAGCATTGGAATGTCCTCGAACCATTTCGAGTCAACTCAAATCGATCTGAGTTAACTCGAACCGGTCTGACCCGTTATCTGCCTTTTTTTTTCTTTTTCCCTCCAATTTTCTTACTTTTCCAACCTATTTTCATTCGATTGGTTAATTTTACAATTGTGGGTTTGTTTATGTTTACAGGGAGATGCATAGCAGAAATAAGAAAGCAATGGAGTTGATAGCAAAAGGGTGGAGTGCTTTGAAAGAGGTAGATAGAGTTATTGATTACTGCGAGCTCAATGATAAACGCCTCGTCCCTCTCCTAAGGGTACTTCACAGTAACTGGAAACTCTTCTTTTATCAGATTATTATTAATATTATTCTTAAGATTTTTTTAATTGGGTTTTGTTCTCTAATTTTAACGTTTAATGATAGGCAGCAAAGGAGAATTTTGAGTTGGCATTGGAAGCTGACAATTCCAATACACATGCTAGGTACTGGCTGTCCAAATTGCATTTGAAATACCATGTTTCTGGGGCATGTAAAGCCATGTAAGTGGAGGGTTGTTTACTTAAAATTTGCAATCCTCATTCCCGACATAATTGCTTAATTATTTTATTGAATTATGAGTGCAGAATTCAGATTATGCTTGTTCTTTTCTCACGATTGTTAGCTACATTGGTTGAAATTATGACAGTGGAATGAGTTGTAATTTTAAATGCTTCTTGGGGTCCATGTATTATGTATATGATTTCTTATGTTCTATTTTCCATGTTAGTGTTTTTCTGTTGTAATCTCATCTTTTCTTTGTAGTTACATGTTAGATTAGATTATCTAATAAACATGACTGTGGAAACTAACATCCTTGTTATGATAGAGGCGCTGCTTTGTTGGTAGAAGCTGCGGATATGGGTGATAAAGACGCACAATATGAGTTGGGTTGTCGCCTAAGAGTTGAGGTTAGGATATTCCTTCTCAAAATATTGCTACCAACAGCAGTTTAAGCTGCTTCTATGAAGCTGCATACATTCCATTAATAAAGTTTGTCAATGAACTTTTTTAAAGGATTTGTCTCTGTGACATATTACATTTTCCTGCAAATGATATCTTCTGCTTTCTAACATTCATTGTCCTATTGGATAGAATGACTATGTTCAATCAGATCAGCAAGCTTTCTATTATTTGGAGAAAGCAGTTGACCAGGTATGTTTCTTTGGAAGCCAGTTGTATATGCTGCATTTTTTATATCTCGCTAAATCTTACTAGAACTCCTTATATTTATAGTTGCATCCAGGTGCTCTTTACCTTCTAGGTGCGGTGTACTTGACAGGGGACTTGTGAAGAAAGACATTGCTTCAGCATTATGGTGCTTCCACAGGACATCAGAGAAGGTGAGGTTTCTCTTTGGTCTTATACTTTGTGATCTTGTTTATCGCACATGGATCTTCTATGGTTGTTCCATGATTATCAAAATTGGAGGTCAGTAATGTACTAATGTTTATGAACTTTTGGAAGGACTTATTCAGTTGAACATTATAACCCTGATGATGTGGGAAGTGGGAACCAGGAATTATGAATTTGATTAAGTGATCCTTAGCAGCTACCAATTAAAGATAAGCTGAACCGAGCAAAACCAGATAGTTTTACTTGAAAATCAATGATCTATGTATGAAGTACAAATCTGGTTATCCCTCATTATTTAAGCAACCGGTGTGCTATAAAAGTGAAAAGGAATATTCTTTGCATTAATTTTGCGCATTAAATTTTTATAATGTAAATATTTTACCTTCTATTTTTTAAAATATATGCAGGGACATGCTGGAGCAGCCATAGCATATGGATCTCTGCTACTTAGAGGTTAAATATATTTGCACGCCTTCTCATGGTTTTCCTTTGACAGTGTATTAGTGTACTACTGAGATTTTCAGATGTAATCATATTAACATTTAGTTTTTATTATCTAGGGTGAAGGTAAAAGAAAAACATATAGCACTGAACTAGTTTTAATAGCTAATACTATATTTGAGTTCAATCTGTTAGGAAACCATTTACATCATAAATATGACTTTAACTTGGTTTACGTTTTACTTCTGATTGACATATGCTTGAACTGAATTCTTATAAACTACTATTCTTGCTGGCAACTTCTTAGGCGTTCAAGTCCCTGAACACCTAACAAAATTTAGTTCGGAGAGGGTTTCTGCTGCCAAAAGAGGAAGGAAAAATGTAGAACACCCATTGAAGAACCCTGTTGAAATGGCGAAAGAGAAATTCCAAATAGCAGCAACAGTTGGATGTGACCTTGGACTAAAATGGTTGCAAAGAATCGAGGAGGTGGAGAAGCGTCTGTTGAGTGAAAGTAGCTCCGCAGATGGTGTTTCACAGTCAAACCCGACATTGTTATAATATGATCAGATGAACTCAGAGCCAATCAGTAAACAGAAAGGGATGAGGTTTTGCAGTCTACATGTAAGTTCAATAGGAAGTAATATGTGGTATAATTTTCATCCATTCACAGTTGCACTGTTACCTTTATATTTGACTTATTGCATTAACACGATGGTGGAGGCTGCATATTCAGGGTTTTGATTTCTAAAATTGATCCCGCTTCCAGGTTCCGACCGTAGGTTGTTGAGAACTCTGTATGAAGGTGATGATGTAGTATTATCGTTGGTTTTAATGCTCACAAATAGGTTCCGACCAGGGTTTTTGAAAGTTTTTTTTTTATATAGTAGGACAATATGTATCAAGTGAAATAAGATTTTGAGGAATTAAAAAGATATTTATTTAGGTGAGATTTGAATTAGGATATCAAAATTTACTTTTGAAATTTCTTATTAGTTTTCCCTGAATTTCTTTTTTGGAAACCCTTAGTTGAAAAGATTTGAATTTTAAAGTGTGTTGAGGGTGGAATCTAAATAATGGTTTTAGAATTCGCTCACTGCACATTTGCAATTAAATACATGAAAGTGTTATCTAAAAATTGAACAAATTTGTGTTCGAATAACAAAGCCATGCAACATTGAACTTTACTTGAAATTAATCTATAATCCATAATCTACAAATTCCTATCTCATTAACTTGTGTCTAGGAACAAGTTAACTCACCTTACAAACTTGGAGAAGTAATATGACAAGAGTAAATAATAGATTAATAGAGGACAATGGTATAGAAAAAACCTACAAGTGTGATTTGACATCAAGCATTTACTGTATTAAATAATGGTTGGCTATCAAAAAGATTTTTCAGTTATACCTTAATGAATATATATATGGGGCTGAACATGTAGATATCACTTAATAACATTTCTACACATGCTAAATGATAAGAATTATTTTCATGAATGGGTCAACGCAAGCGTAATCTGGTCGACGCAAGCGCAATCCGGGCTGCGGCTGTAGATTACTCAAAAAGATATCAGGATTGGCAACTTTGCATCAATCCCTTGTGTTAAGGAAATAACTCGAACTATTTTTGTATCAAAACTCAGAACAAGTGATACTGCATTTCTTGCAAGTATCACTACAAGATTCAAACAAATGATTGTTTCCTTGGAAAAAAGAAGAGAAAGATAACTAGGGTCAGCAGAACGAATACTGTAAGTTGTAAACCTGTCTTCAAGCAATAACCAACTTGATACATAAAAAACTCTTGTTTTCCAGTAACCAAAATCTCTACAACCTTACTGAATGGTTGACGCATCTATAATTTTATTTTGCCTTCCCTTTCTTTGAGGATCCTGGTCCTTTCTTTCCAGTCTTCTTATGAAGTTGCTTTTTCGGTTTCAACTTGTCTGTGGCTGACGACGACTTCCCTTCTTGATTCCTTTTATTCCTAGTTTTCTTCTCTTTCTTAACATTATACATTGTAACAGCCTGATTTCAAAAAATAAATGTCTCAGATGAACAACCATTTTCCATTAGAAATATCAACTTTACCACCAGCCAAATTATATGGCTCAATCTTACCTTGCCAACATTGAGTATCTCATGGGAATGCTTAGAGATTAGCTTATTTAGGACATTCTCAGTTTGCTCCTTCTCTCGTGAGCCTATCCCTGATCCTTCGACGACAGGTAGGAACTAACAGAAGTACAAAAGACCATATTAGAGCATGCCATTATATAATTCACGAGAAATATTTACAGCAAAGCAAAGGCTAAGAACGCAAACCTTGCGATGCTTTCCTTGCTTTTTAGCAGGCTTTTCTCCCGGCAACTTCCTATCAAATTTCCCACCACTAGCTGTAGAAGTAGCAGCCATCCCAGCTACATTCCCTAATTCATCTTTAGTAACTTTCTTAGATGGTGCCTGTGTTCCTGTTATTGGCAGAGCTGTAGCAGCAAGCTGAACATGGCTGCAGCAAACAATTTTAAGTTAAAATCAACATAACAAAAACATTACAAGAATCAGATGAGGAGCAATTAAATGAAACTCCACGACAGATCTTGTCCGTCCAACGCAAGCTAAAGTGGTCAACTAACTGCCAGAGTTTCCTTATCAAGAACTAGAGCAGTTTGAATGAAAACATTGCCCATGGAAAAGAAACAAAGTTGACTTCAAACTCATTGATGTTTATAAGAAATTACTATGAGCATGGTCAGCAATCATAGCCTAACCCTTAACCACTAAAATGACATAAATATTAGGGTGTAAAGGAATAGTATCAAAAAATAAGACTTAAGATTAAAGCAGCATAATAATGTGATATAAAGAATAAGCTAAAAGGAGAATTATTTATACCAATACTATCTCAAACATAATTGACAAATCAATTTCTTACTGAAGATAACAATTGTGATTATAGAGAACTACAATGGGTAGGCAAAACCTTGGCAAAGCACCAATTTTTGCAGCTTGTTTCAAGTTTTGGAGGCGATTCTTCTCTTGTTTCACAATTCGCTGCTTCTTATCATCTTGTCTCTTAGCAAAAGGATCCACTCCTGGCTCTGCAAAAAGAAACAATCACGATCAACAAAATCAAATAAGTCCGGTATACCATTTTGGTACTCGTAAACTATTTCTATATTTATTATCTCAACTACCATTTACATTGTATTTTAATAGCACTGGTAATTATTTCTTACAAGGAAAAAAAACCAATTAAAAGTACTCACCATCAGTCATCTTGGCCTCAATGATCGGTATATCTTTATCATCATTGACACGATCATAACCAAAACGACGTTTCCATTTACCAGTCTGTTCATCCCATACAACTTTGTCCTTTTTACGATTCTTTATACCTACAAGATATTTCAAAAGAGAGAAGGTGAAAATAAAGAATCTTCAGACCAAAATTTAACTCAAAATTTAACATTGACATGTAAACTTCATATGCTAGGTGAAATGATTTACCCTTCTTTTTAGCAAACTCCTCCCATTTTGTGGGAGGTTTAGGCTTCGGAAGCTGAAAACAGAAACAAAATAAAGAATTTCAGGTTTCAAGGCACCTTGCATACTAGATTTTTCAATGAAATGAAAAACTAACTAAAAATCAAATTCATTTGCTAGGATATACATGTTCTTCATTTACAGAAGTCCAAAAATACAAAATAAAAAAAGAATAAAGCATAAAGCTAGGCTCACATGCTTCTCCCTAGGAAGTTTTGTTGTTGGGGGAGGCAGCTTAACAAGAGGTCCATCTACATCTTCATTTGAAGGCAAGTTAAAAAGACTATCTGCAACTGCTTGAACTAACTTGGTACCCTCCTGTAAACATTCCTTCACTAGCTCATCCCTAAACGTATTGGCCAGCAGACATATAAGATCAAGAAAAGGAACACAAAAGAACATCAAGAACAACTTTAGAAACCAGCCGACAGACAATGCTTTGAAAAGACCAACTAAACTAGATTGGAAGGAAACCAATATCCCAATTTCCAAAGTATGTCCAGTTAATTACATTTAATAGCATCAGATTCAAATCCAAAATGCCCCACATGAATTTATCGTACTTCTAATAAAAATCAACCCAAATAGAAAGATAAACATTATATTTATAAAGGGAAAAAGAATGTAAACCTGGAAGTGGGGAGCGAAGGAAAGTTATGAAAAGGGTTAAAAGCCAAAAGATTTCCTACGTCTACATGATAAGGTTTCTGGCTCTCCGTCTCCATCTCCATCTCCATCTTGTTTTGCTGTATGGCAAAGCTTTGGGTTTGGCTTTTCAAAACCTAACGCCGAAAGGAAAACAAAGCGGCTATCAATTTATTTTGTTCTAAGTTTCAACAAAAAACTAGCCACTTTATGGGCCTTAACACAAACAAAGAGCCCACGCCTGTTGGCTCTGTTTTTTTCCCTTTTCATACCATTTATGTGATTTTTTTAATTTATAAATTTAATTAAAAAATAATAATGTTTAAAGATAAAAAAATAAAATATTTGGTGACTTTCTTATTTATGAAAATAAAATAAATAATTTTAATTTTTGAGAACGAACTTTCTTTAAAGATTGCTTAGTAAAAGGAAATTTCTTTCGTGTTTATAAGTGAAATTTATTTTATACGAAATTGATATTTTATAAAAGTTAAAATAAAAAATTTAATTTTAATAATATTCTTATTAAATCTCCTTTGAACATTAAATTATTGATGAAATATTTTTTACTATCTAAATCTATTTTTATCTATAAATAAAAGAATATTAAACGTTTAAGCATGTTCAATTACACAGATTCTTGTATAATATACTGACGATATATTTTATTATTTGATACATAAACTATATAAAAATTATTTTACACAATTTATCTATTTTAATTCTGAAATATAAAACTATAATCCCTAAATTTTAAATTTAAACCCTACACTCTAAATTTTAAATATACGTATAAACTAAAGCTTGCACGATCTATATATATGTGCTACATTTTTCGTATAAATGAATACATTTAAAAGATTAAGAATATTTATATGCATCAAATACTTGTAGGTAACTTCAACGGTAGATTTTTCTCTAAAACATAAAAATTAATTATTTTTTGTAATATATTTAGACTCATCCTTTGAATTAAAAAGATATTGAATATTTAAATGTGTTCAGTTTCATGTTTATATCACATTATTAAAAATGTAAATGAAAATATTTTAGATAAATTATAAATTTAATCCAAATCTTATCTAGAGGGGAAGGGAAGGGAAAGAAATAGACTCCTTTTGATGGGTCTAAAACTTATGATCTAAGAAAATATAAAGAAAGAAAAATAAACAGTATCAAATATATTTACTTTAAATATAAATACTTTTAATACAAGTAAATGACATGACATTTGTTATCTTAGGGTCTGTTTGTTTGGCTGTAATTGGTTTTCTGGAAAATGAATTACTAAAATTTTAAATTACTGGAATTTGAATTGTTGTAAATTGAATTCAGGAAAATGAATTACATTTCTGGAAAACGTTTTCCGAAAAATATTTTACGTAAAATAAATTACATTTTTCTAAAAAACATATGGAAAACGTTTTATGATATTTGGAAGATGTTATTTAAACATTTTTCACTAGTTGATGAGTTTTTTTAAAAATTATTTATTACAAATATAAAATACAATAAATTATATTATTTATCATAAAAATTTAATATTATTATTTTTAAAATATTAAAATAATTTATTTATTATTAAATATTATTTTTATAATTTTATTAATATTGGTATATTTTAGTGAAATAAAAATATTATAAATTATATTAATTATGTATTAAAGTAATAGTGTTATATTATATTTTAAAAATATTAATTAGTATATTTTAAATATATTTATTAAAATATTATTAGATTATTATATTAATATTAAATATATAAATAATATTATTCATTATTAAATATATACAAAATTTATTATATATTTATTAAAATAAAAATATAATATCTTATATTATTATAATATAATTGATTATTTTATTATAATATTAAAAATATAATATTATATTATTATAAATATTAATAAATATATTTTAAATATTTTAATATTTAATATTTTGATAAAAATGATATTAAAATATTTTATTAATATTAAATTAATAAAATAAAATAATTTTGAGTATTTATTCTTTGAAGTGAAAAGTTCAGAAAATGACTTACAGAAAATTAGACCGTAAGTCATTTTCCAGAAAATACAAAGGAAATTATGTTGACCAGGAAAATGAACTACGTTGACCAACTAGTTTTCCTACAACCAAACACTGGAAAACATTTTCCGGAAAATGAATTACGTGAAACAAACACGAGATTTCGGGAAAAACCAATTCCGTAATTTATTTTACGTCAAACAAACATACCCTTAATTTACCTTTGTATGCCGATATTTATGGTAGCGTATATTTTTTTCCATAAAACTTAATTACAATTTTGATGTAAACGTGGTTTTTTATTATAAATTACCTTAGGGTCTGTTTGTTTGGCTGTAATTAGTTTTTTGGAAAATGAATTACTAGAATTTGAATTACTGGAATTTTAATTACTTAAAAATGAATTATTGGAATTTGAATTCAGGAAAATGAATTACATTTCTGGAAAACGTTTTCCAAAAAATATTTTACGTAAAATAAATTACATTTTTCTGAAAAACATCTGAAAAACGTTTTATGATGTTTGGAAGATGTTATTTAAATATTTTTCCACTAGTTGATGAGTTTTTTAAAAATTATTTATTACAAATATTAAATACAATAAATTATATTATTTATCATAAAAAATTAATATTATTATTTTAAAATATTAAAATAATTTATTTATTATTAAATATTATTTTTATAATTTTATTAATATTGGTATATTTTAGTGAAATAAAAATATTATAAATTGTATTAATTATTTATTAAAGTAATAGTGATATATTATATTTTAAAAATATTAATTAGTATATTTTAAATATCTTTATTAAAATATTATTAGATTATTATATTAATATTAAATATATAAATAATATTATTCATTATTAAATATATACAAAATTTATTATATATTTATTAAAATAAAAATATAATATCTTATATTATTATAATAAATTAATTATTTATTATAATATTAAAAATATATATTATATTATTATAAATATTAATAAATATATTTTAAATATTTTAATATTTAATATTTTGATGAAAATGATATTAAAATATTTTATTAATATTAAATTAATAAAATAAAATAATATTGAATATTTATTCTTTGAAGTGAAAAGTTTAGAAAATGACTTACAGAAAATCAGATCGTAAGTCATTTTCCAGAAAACACAAAGGAAATTCTGTTGACCAGGAAAATGAACTACGTTGACCAACTAGTTTTCCTCCAACCAAACACTGGAAAACATTTTTCGGAAAACGTATTACGTGAAACAAACACGTGAAAACATTTTCCGGAAAATGAATTACGTGAAACAAACACGAGATTTCGGGAAAAACCAATTCCGTAATTTATTTTACGTCAAACAAACATACCCTTAATTTACCTTTGTATGCCGATATTTATGGTAGCGTATATTTTTTTCCATAAAACTTAATTACAATTTTGATGTAAACGTGGTTTTTTATTATTAATTATCTTAGGGTCTGTTTGTTTGGTTGTAATTAGTTTTCTGGAAAATGAATTACTAGAATTTGAATTACTGGAATTTTAATTACTGAAAAATGAATTACAGGAATTTGAATTCAGGAAAATGAATTACATTTCTGGAAAACGTTTTCCGAAAAATGTTTTACGTAAAATAAATTACATTTTTCTGAAAAACATCTGGAAAACGTTTTATGATATTTGGAAGATGTTATTTAAACATTTTTCCACTAGTTGATGAGTTTTTTAAAAATTATTTATTACAAATATTAAATACAATAAATTATATTATTTATCATAAAAATTTAATATTATTATTTTAAAATATTAAAATAATTTATTTATTATTAAATATTCTTTTTATAATTTTATTAATATTGGTATATTTTAGTGAAATAAAAATATTATAAATTATATTAATTATTTATTAAAGTAATAGTGTTATATTATATTTTAAAATATTAATTAGTATATTTTAAATATCTTTATTAAATATATTAGATTATTATATTAATATTAAATATATAATAATATTATTCATTATTAAATATATACAAAATTTATTATATATTATTAAAATAAAAATATAATATCTTATTATTATAATATAATTGATTATTTTATTATATTTAAAATATAATATATATTATAAATATTAATAAATATATTTTAATATTTTAATATTTAATATTTTGATGAAAATGATATTAAAATATTTTATTAATATTAAATTAATAAAATAAAATTATTTTGAGTATTTATTCTTTGAAGTGAAAAGTTCAGAAAATGACTTACAGAAAATCAGACCGTAAGTCATTTTTTAAAAAATACAAAGGAAATTCTGTTGACCAGGAAAATGAACTACGTTGACCAACCAGTTTTCCTCCAACCAAACACTGAAAAACATTTTATGGAAAACGTATTACGTGAAACAAACACGGGAAAACATTTTCCGAAAAATGAATTACGTGAAACAAACACGAGATTTCGAAGAAAACCAATTCCGTAATTTATTTTACGACAAACAAATATACCCTTAGTTTGCATAAAATTTCACCAAAATTTCACCTTCTGTTTCATCGTTGGTCTCGGTTAAGAGAAATTAAAGATATATGCAAACCAACAATTAGTTGGTCTAGTGGGATGAGACACTAAATATCTTAAGCAAGGTCAGGATTCAAATCCTGACATTTACGAATTGAGTAAACTGGGTTGAGAGGGTCGTCATCGCCTCTGTAATACCCGAATTAAATTAGTCGGTTAATAGATCAAATATCAATGATTAATTCAATATATATATATATATGCAAACAAAGATAATGCTTTGAAAAGCTTGAAAATGTGGAAAGAAGCGTTAGACGCCGGAGATCGAGCCCGTGTGCCCAAACTCCTGAGAAAAGCCGACTCCTCGACAACCTCTTACCAGCAACCTACACCGAAGAGCAAATCACGGTCGTAAAACGAATCGAGGAAAAGGGAGATTATTATGATATATTGGGGTTAGAGAAAATGCGCAGCGTTGAAGATGTTTGAAAGGCTTACCGAAGACTATAGTTGAAAGTTCACCCCCGATAAGTAGGGATAGCACCCTGTAAATTTTAAATTTTTTATATTTTAAATTTTTTCTTTATATTTTTTTATTGATTATTTAATTTTATATCCCTACAATTTTATAACTTCGTACTCTCTAAAATTTTTAACATAACTTATTAAGTTTGTATCTCCTTACCTAAATTTAAGGGTCCGTCCCTACCGGTAAGAATACATCGCGTGGGGCTGAAGATGCGTTTAAGGTGGTTTCAAAAGCGTTCAAGTGCCTAAGCAACGAAGAAAGTAGGAGAAATTATGATCTTATTCGATCGGACGAACCTGTTTATGGAATGAGCTCAGCTTCGGCGTATCGTGGTGGAGGCGGCAATGGATTCCAACGCTATTATGACACCGATTTCGGTGCAAATGAGATATTCAGGAACAATTTCTTTGAGCCAGGAAAGGGTTCTACTGGATTCAAATATATAATATTATATTATGTGATTGTGTTATTTTTCTTATGTATTAAATATAATTTCAATCATTAGACTAAGATTATGATGCAGAAGACTGCCCTTTGACTCTCATTTTTGTTTGCATAAAACTTCATTCTGTGCTTAGCCTTGTTTAACTGATTCCTCCAAACATTAGCTTGTTGTTTATATGGGCTTGCGTCCCATGCAAAACCATGTGGTTCATAATTATATAGTGCTTAAAATTAAGATGAGATAGTTTTATCGTATGATGTTAAATGTTTTGATATAACTAATCTTTAGTTAATCATTAAACATGCTTTGCTTTTCAAAACCCAGCACCGAACGTGCAAAGCAAAACCAGTCGAGGTCTTATTTAAAAAAAAATGATTAAAACTTGATGGAGTCATTGATAAATTGGTCCCTACACTATACCTTAATTACCACTTCAATACTTAAACTATATTATTTATCATATTTTCTCTAAAAAATGGTAACGATAATGGAAAAATTATGATTTCAGTCCACAAGAATGTGATACATTTCTGATGATGTTATCTATGACAATTGTAGACCAACTTTTCTTAACAATCTTAGCTTTTATGATAAATTCACAAAAATATGATAGATTAGGTATTACTTGCCATTTTTTTTAAAACAAGTGAAATTCACAAGTTAAAAAATGAAATTATTATTATTATTTTTTTGTAAAATTGACTGATCAGAATAAGAATATGAGAGGAAGCAACACAAATTAATTTATCCAAAAATGAGAGGAATCAACTAAGATGAGATTAGTTTGATCAAATTTATTACATTTTAAAACTGTCTATTTATTTTGATTCGACTATGGATTATCATATTATGTATTAGTTTATATCTTTTTTGACTTTATAATAAAATAAATTTATTTTATGTTCATATGAAGTTTATTTATTTAATTTTCAAAGTTATATATAAATATATTAAAATTAGTTTGAAATGAACATAACTAATTAAAAATTCTTATATAAAATTTGCAATTTTTTTATCATTTGAGATACATACCAATTATTTTTATTATAAAATTAAAATTATAAATTAAATAAAATTTTCAATTTGTTTCGAATAATCATAAAAAAAATTATATTTATTATTTTTTGAAGGATAGAAAGTTATATTTATATATTATAAACGTCTAATCTAACAATTTCAATTCAATTCGATTTTTGGTTGGATCAAATATTTCCAAAGCAGCCGACCGACAATTTTGCGGAAGCTATCTTTCTTCTCTGCGTCTTTCCTCATTTCCCCCCAAAATTATGAACCCTAGTCCCCTCAAAAACAACCCTAATTAGTTCATTCTCGTTTCTGCTTTTAACTCCCCCAGTTCTCCTAGGGCGAGTTTTTTCATCAATTTTGCACCTGAAATTTCATATTTATCTCTCGGGGGAAAAATCAAAGATGGATGGAAACAAAGATGATGCCTTCAAATGCTTGAAAATCGGGAAAGAAGCGTTGGACGCTGGAGATCGAGCCCGTGCGCTCAAGTTCCTCTCCAAAGCACGTCGCCTTGACCCAACACTTCCCGTTGACAATCTCATATCGCAAGCTGTCGAAAGAGAATCCAACGATCAACCCGCGCCGGAATCTTCCAGCGCCACCCAAGATCATTCTGGTACTTCTCCATCCAAGCCGTCTGATCAACCCTCAATTCGCCATAGGTCTCGATCAAATGGGTCTGCTGCTTCTTCTTCTTCTTCGACGGCAGCAGTTGCAGATTCTTACACTGAAGAACAAATCGCGATCGTGAAACAAATCAAGAAAAAGAAGGATTATTATGAAATTCTGGGGTTAGAGAAAACTTGCTCCGTTGAAGATGTTCGAAAGGCTTATCGAAAACTCTCCTTGAAAGTTCACCCTGACAAGAACAAAGCTCCCGGGGCTGAGGAAGCGTTTAAGGCGGTTTCAAAAGCGTTTCAGTGTTTAAGCAATGCAGAAAGTAGGAAAACCTATGATCTTGTAGGATCAGATGAACCTTCTTACGAAAGGAGAGCTTCAGCATATCGTGGTGGAGGCAATGGATTTAATGGCTTCTATGATACCGATTTTGACGCTGATGAGATATTTAGGAGCTTCTTTGGTGGAATGGCTCCTGCAAATACTCAATTTCGTACTTTCCATTTTGGGCCTGGAATGGGAGCTAGAACAGGGGATCAGGGATCTACTGGATTCAATATCCGCACGCTGATTCAGCTGTTGCCTGTTCTGTTAATTCTCTTGTTGAACTTTTTGCCCTCTTCTGAGCCTCTTTTTTCGCTGTCCAGGTCGTATCCTTACGAGTACAAGTTCACAACTCAAAAGGATGTTAATTATTATGTGAGAACGACTAATTTTGAGCAAGATTATCCTGTTAATAGTCCTGAGCGTGTAAGGATCGAGGAGCTTGTTGAGAGAGAATATTATAAGGTTTTGGCACAGAATTGTAGGCTTGAGCTGCAGCGGCGGCAATGGGGGTTTATTCGTGAGATACCACATTGTGAGATGTTGCAGAAGTTTCAGTCGGCAGCTTAATCGCTTCCATTAAGGTCATTTCGATGTCCCCCTATTACTTGTTATTGTAAACTAGTAGTTTCATGGTTTCTTGCGATGTTTGTTTGGAATATAATTTTAAGACTTATAGTGGCAAGTCCAATGATTGTGACCATAAAGGTGAGTCAATCTCGGGATTTAAGGGAGAATACCTTTATATTTGCCATAAAATGTAGATGTTTAAAATTTGGGTCCATAAAAGGTTACCTTATGTATTTCTGAATGATCTGCGTCAATTTGTTTCGAACTTCATTTTCTGCTCATTGAAAGTAGTGCATTCTTCCTTCTTAAAGCAGGTTATTGCTGCACCAGGTGCTACATAATTTAGAACTATGTTTGTTGTTACTACGGATGAGGTCTTGGGACTTTTTGAACTATTGAAATGATTCGTTTCTTTGTTATGTTGCATATGCAACCCTTTTCATTAACATGATTAAAAAGAGGAAAAGGAATGAAAAAAACCAAGAGAAGTTGAAACTGATACTTGCAAATTAAGCTACATACCCCAAGAACTCTAGCCATCAGGCTGACTGTTTCAATCTCAGAACTCAAAACAGCCTAGGATACACCTTATTGCACAATTGTATTCAAGCCTCCATCCTGCTTTGTTTTCCCCTAAAATGGGTTGATATTGGAAACTTCAACTTTCCAACAGCAGCAATAAGAGGATGCCACCCAATTCTTATTTCCTCAATCTGATTTGTACATATTAATAAAAGTTTCTCTCTTTGAAAATTTTCACAATACCTTCCGTCAATGTAATCAATTGCTCTTGGAGACAGCTTGTCCTATGACTATTAAACTGAGTTGAAACTTGTGTTTATGATGGTTGATTGCAATCCCACAATTTGATGGTCACAATTAAATCAGTTCTTGTTGTACTGCATGATTATCTAGGTGAATCAAACATGACAAAAAATTTGCCCTTTGAAAAACTCTGCACAATGTTTCAACTGCACTGCATAAATAATTGCATTATCGATGATAATGGAGCTTAGCTCTAGTGGCTGCATGTTCCTAGCATATGCTGCTGGAGCAATTTCAGTAAGACAACTGAATCCCTGCACCACTTTTGGCATGTTATTTGACTACTGTTTGACTTTAGAATTGGGATGTTTTATCATGCAAGAACTGTATCTTTCCTCGTGTGCTTAACTGAATTTCTGTTCTATTGGTCCTATTTTAGCCACAATTTTGGGCTTCATTAATTAACTACGGGATTATGTGGGGTGTGAGTAGCTTACCTTACTTTCTACATACAATAAATTAACCCGGTGTCAATTTTTGTAGTAGGTGAGGTGGTGTTTTCCATTGTTGGTTAACCTAGTCGTTGAATGGGATGGCATCCACAATAAGATACATTTTCTATCTAATTTGAGCGTTTTGTTTAGTTCGTGATAGGTAGATTACTATGGGTTGCAACTGTTGTGAATGATTGTGTCTCTTGAGCAGGAATGGCATCAAATATCTAACACCAAATATCATTGCTTGCATTCATGTAGTTGTTGACTTGATATTGAGAATTATAACTTTTCTTTCATGTTAATAGGCCAACAATATGCTTTTGTGGTGCAGGTGGCAGACAATGAAAAAGGCCACGCTTTTCAGTTTGAGCTCTCTGCTTTCTATGCTATGCAACGTCACAGCAAGAACGATTGGATTCACGATTCCCTACTGGACAATACTCGTGACACGATGAAATATTTTTCAATTTCTTAGTTAAGGTTCATTTCGTACATTCGATATAGTGGGCTCTTAGGCTTGCTAGGAGAGCGTTAAGGCCACATACAAAATTTTTCTTGGCATTGCTTAGTGTAAGATGCTACATTTGGAGAGTGATGTATGTCCAGAATATTGCCTGGGCTCGTATGACAAATGCACAACCGACCATTTTCATATTAACGAAATAATTCCTCCTTGTCCACGAAATTGAAAAATTTAATTTTCTAACAGAGCAAACTTAAATCTAAAAGTAATTATATTGTTCAACATAAAAAATCATAGAAATATTTGAATAAATTGCTTTTCAAAATAGAAGAGATTATAATTTTATATTTTATCATAGCTTTTTGCAATTTTCATAAATGTTTTTCATGTTAACATTTCAATTATAGCAATTAAAATTATCCATATATAATTTGATCTAGTATAATATTGGACACTTTCCTATGACTCAATACATGTAGATATCAACTGCATTAAAAATTTTTGTATATTTTTAAAGTAGTATTTTTTCATGGCATAATATCAAAAATAGCTCTCCATGTTTATTAAAATGATTATTTTAGCTCATATTTTTTGAGAGCATTTTGACCGTTAATGTTTTATTTTAGGGGTAAAAAACTCTCTTTATAGATGAAAATTATTAGTTAACACATGATTAACGCTCTAAAATATGAGTCTTTTTTATCTTAAATTGAAACATTGAGGGTTAAAATATCTTAGAAAAAATAAGAGATAAGGTGATTATTTTATCAAATATTATGAGTTTTTTTGTCTTAAAATGAAATGTTGGGGTCAAAATGCTTCAAAAATAGAATAGGAGCAGTATGATCATTTTGATAAATATTGGGGGCTAGTTTTGACATTATGCCTTTTTTATTAGAAAAGTGGAAGACAATAAAAGAGAAAATACAATATAATTTTATCTATGTAAAGCACGATAAGTAATGAATTTCATTGGCTGCTTGCATATCTCACGGATCACAGCTTTAATAAATTAACAGTCGTTGATAACCGATCTAATCTACGGTTCATATTTTCCCTTTGAAAATATTTCCCACACTTCTTCCTGTTTCTCTGAAATTCCCCTTTATATATATATATATATATCTCCTCCAAATATTTATAACCACGCTCATCAAAACATTTTCGGCAATTTTCCAAAAAAAAAATCATCGGTGATCGGTATATTTATCGATTTAATAACGATCGAATTATATTTTTTGATCTAACATCCGTAGTAGTAAAGCGCGCCTTCTGAATCGCGTTATATGTTGATTTGGCGTCACGTGGAGTATAGCGCGCCCCCTGTACCGCGCTATACGATGATTGGGTTATACGTGGGGTATAGCGCGCCCCTTGCTCCGCACTATACGCCACGTAGGGGTATAGCGCGGATCAGGGGTCGCGCTATACGCCGTACCAAAATTATATTTAACGCGGTCTCTGATCCGCGTTATACGCCGTACCAAAATTATATTTAACGCGGTCTCTGATCCGCGCTATATAATAATTACATATAACTAAATCTAAAATCGATTTTTAAACATTAAAATTCATACTTGTGTGTCAGCCTTCTGATCGATTAGCACCCTAATTTTTTCTAAATCATCATTGGCATCTAACCAATTTAACGGTATCCTATCTCCGATAAAATTTTCAGATACACGTCTTAGACTATCCCGACACAAAGTAGTCCAAGAACCGGAAGCTATCCCTGATATCACATCTTCATCCACCAGAAGCCCCAGGTGCATAGAAACATCCTCAAGCGTGATCGTGCACTCTCCGCACGGAAGATGAAATGTGTGGGTCTCCGGCCTCTACCGCTTTACTAAGGCAGAAATCAGGTCTGGCTCTATCTTACAGTGACCCTGATATCTACCTATGTAACTGAATCCAACCTCTACTAAATACAGCAAGACACAGCTGGGTATCACTAATTTAAGATTCCTAATAAAATGATCTAATACATGGTCCTTCTCCTAAAAATAAATAATTACAAAAATTAATTCTTACTCTAATAATTATGCATTAAATAAATCAACTAATTATTACTAATAATTTAAATTAAATTAAAACGTTAAAATGTTACCGTATTAGCAAAGTGTCGAGATATTTAATTCTTAATCTAATAATCATGCATTAAATAAATCAACTAATTATTACTAATAATTTAAATTAAATTAAAACGTTAAAATATTACCGTATCAGCAAAGTGTAGAGATATATGATTTCTATCCAAACGAAGTAGACTGCCTTCCATTATATATCTGCAAAAGAATTATATTAGTAAATTATTAAATAAAGTAAATACATAATAATAAAAAATATTATAAAATATACCTTGAAAATATAGAATATTTGAGAGAAATTTAGAGATTTTGAGAGAATTTGATGTGATAAAAGTGATTGAGAATGAATGTATTTATAGGGAGGATGGGGACGTGAAGGGTTGGGTATTTAGGGGTATAGTGCGTCCCCTGCACCGCGTTATACCCCACATGTCAGATACCTAGATATAGAGCGGATTAGGGGGGCACTATACCCACGTAGCGCCAGATCACCGTATATCGTGGGACAGAGGGCACGCTATACCAACGTGACGTCAAATCAACCTATAGCACGGTTTAAGGGGTGCGTTTTATTGCTACGGGTATTAAATCAAAAAATATAATCTGATCAGTATTAGATAGATAAATATACCGATCACCGCTGATTTATTGAAAAAATTGCCAACATTTTCTTTGATAATTTCTTTGCTCCAAAGGAGCACTCTTTGCGCATCGTCAATTAATCTAATGGCCCGTACTAAGCAAACAGCCAGGAAATCAACCGGTGGTAAAGCTCCACGTAAACAGCTTGCCACAAAGGCTGCTCGCAAGTCAGCTCCGGCGACCGGAGGGGTGAAGAAGGCTCACCGTTTCAGGCCCGGAACCGTGGCTTTGAGAGAGATCAGGAAGTACCAGAAGAGCACCGAGCTTTTAATCAGGAAGCTTCCATTCCATAGGTTGGTGAGAGAAATCGCTCAAGATTTTAAGACTAATTTGAGGTTCCAAAGCAGCGCTGTCGCGGCACTTCAAGAAGCTGCTGAGGCATATATCGTCGGGCTTTTTGAGGATACAAACCTACGTGCTATTCACGCTAAGAGAGTTACGATTATGCCTAAGGATATCCAGCTTGCTAGGAGGATTAGAGGAGAGAGAGAGCTTAGGTTACTTGTATTTTTAGTTGATTTATACTTGGAATTAGAGATCTAAGCCTTTGATCATTCGTAGGATTTGCTCTCTGTGCAAGTGATGTAAAATCGACGCTTTTATGATCTTGTTGAGCGTGCTTCTTTTTACTTTGATTGCTCTTTATTTTTTTGGATCTCAATTGTTTGACTCTGTTTTCTTTATTTTCTGCCCGTCTACCACAAAAGTTATGTGTAATACCCAAGCATTCTGCCATTTTGCGAATCTCTTCAGACTGAAGTTGAGGTCTGTCTCCTGATGAGAACCCGTGTAAAGACGAAGAACTGTTGATGTCGCCAACATCCACCCAACTAAATCTCACTTCCTTCTTCACTCCTCTCTGGCTCGTCATTCTCCTTACGTTATGGTCAAATGCAGACTTCAATACAAGAACATGAAACTTCAACCCAATAATAAAGCCTTGAATGTCTAAACAGAAAGAAAACGCTGTTATACAAGTTACTGCATCGAAAGCAACCCCCATTAAAGATGTACAAAAAAAAAATTTAAGCAAGGTTAGGATGGGAGCAAATTAAATTGATAGGGTTGTTTTATTTTTTTAGTATTTAATTTGGAATTAATTGATCAATTGATTGGATGTCGATTAATTAAAAAAAATACAAAAGCTGAGTAATCTACGAAACTATATTGGGATCATTTAAGCTCTCAAAGATGCAAAAAAACTAGTCAAAGTGCCCTGATTTGGAGTACTTATTCACAGAAGAATTCGGAATCTGGGTCCCCTGTCTTGAACTATTGCAAGACGCCTTGAGAACCAGACCCACAGTAACTTCATGGATGGCATTACCCTGGCCTGATTTAAGGAGTTCTCTAAACCCTGTATAGGCGTCAAAGGGGAATTAACACGCGAAAAATTGGGCAGAGAGTGGTTAACAGGGAAAGGAGTGGTTGGTTTGAATAAGGACTTCCTTCGAATAGCTGGCGCGCATGTTTAGATGAGTGCTTAAGACTTTAATATTAAAAGTACATTTGAACAAAAAATTTAAACAAGTTAATAATTGAAATTTTCTCTACGGAATAATTTATATCATTTAGTAATTATGTAATTATCTTTTTTTCCTCCTTTATGTATATATATATTAGTTGACTTTATTTTCATATGAGGGGAAGTAAGGTAATAAATTATTTTCATTCTTAATATTAGATTGAGAACAACTTACATAAAAAAAAAAAAAAACTTTCGACAGTCGAAATTATAAAACAAAGAAAACTATCCTACTTTTACCCTCAAGCCTCAACCTTTCCCCTTTCGTTACCTGCTAACACTCCAACCCGATTTCTTCACGGGTCAGGTCGATAAACCGATCCCTTGGCGGGAAAAGGCTTTTTGTCGCTCGTTTCCTCTAGCGACACTTTTAAAATCGTAGAGCATTACTGTTTACTATTGCAAATCATATACAAAAATGCAAGACGTGAAGATCCTCACTGTCTCTGATTTACTCAACTACGGCCGCTCCCACACTGGATCTTTAACTCTTGGCCTTCCGATCATCTCTGATCAAAACCCTCAACCGCCACCTGGCTCTTCCACTTCAAACCCTAACCGGGACCTTAAACTTCTGGCTCAGCTCGATTACCCTGCTATTTTCGTCGGAACCTTAAGACTCCCTACCCTGACTCTTAATTGCCCACACGAGAACTGCCCCGAATTCTCTGACGATGCAGTCGCCGTTTGCTGCGACATTGTAGGATTTGATCTTCGCGCCATTGGTAAGAAAATCAACGTTCTTACCTGGAATTTCATTAGGTCGGATCATCTTTCTAATGGATTCTTGGAAATCTTTAATTGGGACTTGTCTGATTCGAATCACGGGCTCAGTCGATGTTCAAGCATGATTATAGATTCGTTTCCTTTAGTTTCAAGTTCTATTGAACACGTACCCAAAACTACCAATTCTAAGTCCTATCGAATTCACGGAATAATAGTAGTTAGTCCTGTCTCTGTTGTTCCATGTTCAGTTGAAAACTCAAATTCAAGTAAATCAATGAATCTTCGAGGTTTTGACGTGAAAATTATGACTTGTGAATGCCAATTGTGTCGTTCTAAAGAGCCTGTCAGCGTTTTATTTGGAGAAGCGGATTGTCATTCTTTTACAGTACCGGTGTATGTGTACTTTCGTGGGCCTGCTTGGTATTGGCATCCTGTGCTGACGAAGCTCATTAGGAAGGTTGTTACAATTTCGGGTTTGATGAAGAAGTTGGTTATGATGGGGAAGCAAGAGTCTGTTTTGATGCTTGTCACTGCTGAGAACACTGTTCTTCATTTGCCAAGATTATTGAAGAAAAGAAAGGTTGTACGTGGTTCTTATAAAGGCACTGTCAAAAATGTTTATATGCAAGGAATGGTTGTTGAGCTGGAAAAAGAAGTGTGGCTTTTACTAACGAATCAGTCACTCATGCCACCACACGGTCTTAGGATTGCTACTGTTGTGAGTAAAATATTCATTTGATTCATTCATTGTTTTATTATCATAATCTTCTGCTTATTCAGCGCCGGCCTTGTTTACATTTTATCTATTTGCTTGTTTCTTATGAGCAGATTTCAATTAGAAATGTCCATTTTGTGGATCCACAATTTTCTTGGGCAAAGTTTCTTGTTCTCGGGGCTTGCTTCAATACCAGCATCATAGTAAAATCATTCTCGCCATTAAATACAAGGTATTACTCATTCCTGAACTTATCATTCAATATTTCCTTTATTCACTTTTAGCAATGCTATATAACTAGTGTTATTCTTTTTTAGAATTACTATAGAAACTGAATTTGAATTCTTTTTCATATATTTTAATTGATGAACCCATTTAAATATTGCCTTTATTCACTTTAGCAATGCTATATAACTACTGTTATTCTTTTTATATAATTACTATAGAAACTGAAATTGAATTTCTTTTTCATATTTTTTAATTGATAAACCCATTTATATGTTGGCTCTACCAGTTCAATGATGGATGGTTTCATGAAGGTATTTGACGTGCTTAAGATCTGAAAGGATAACTGACAAGCATGAAACGTAATTCATCTTTATGCTGCAGGTGTCTTATTGTGTCATACTCACAAAGCCAGTTGGGGAACTTCATTGAGACATTAGGTTTTTCTACGAGACTGTGGTATGGAAATTTTTCTTGCGATATTCATGGTTTGGTTGGTTTAAGGTGCACTTATATAAATTTTGGGTTTCAGGGTACTACTTCTTGTTTTGTGTTTCCAGAAAACATTTTCTGGTATTATATCCAGAAAGAAGATTTTGGGATCAAGACATGTAATTCACTTGCTTTCCTTTTTGTGAAACTTGTTTGATTGGCATGGACTACTAGTTTTATGAAATTTCTCTTTTTTTATTCAACAATCAATATATTTATTTCTGCTGATCTGACCTTGGATATTATTTCTGAGGTATTTCCAGAACGAAGGACTGGTTCAAATGTTTGCTAACTCACATTTGCATTCGTCAGTGTTTCGAGCACGGGTAAATTAGTTAACTCCTGTTGATTTTGTGATTTTGTTTCTATGTTGGTCATTCCATTACAATCTTGTCATAAATTTGCTTTGGCAGCATGGTGTGCTAATGGAATTCAATAAACATGAATCATGTTGCTCTGCTACTGAACCATATCATGGCAACCTGATGTTGGTAATTCCAGGCCCTACTTTTATTGGAATAGATTTGAATTAGCATAATTAAACTTTTCAAGTGTCCAGTTGATTATACTTTTTGCTAGTTTGCTTTTCTTGTTAACCATTATCTTTTATGTATTTTGGTTGCTTTTAGGTGGTACCAATATCCAGTTTCATCCATCTGTGAGAATTTATGGATAAAGGCACTGCTACCATCAGATAATAATCTTCCTGTCTTATGCGTGAGAAAATATTATCAACGATCAAAAAGGAAGACTTTTCGGAGTGAAGACTTGGGTATCATTTTGGTTGGAATGTTAAAGGTTAGTAATTTAACTCGTATGCTCATATGCAGGCAAGTGAGATCATTTAACTCTTAAAGTGAATACTGAAAGTACAAATGGCGTGATGGAGGGTATGTAGCTATGAATATTCAAGTTCTTCAAAGAGTGGAAAAGGATAACTAAATATTGTTGCTTTATTAAAAATAATCTTTCAAGACCAAAAATAAGTTATGAGTAGGATTTTGATGTTTGATGAGGCGTTAAAGCCATAGTGTTCATGTTTGAGTATTTTCTCTCTCTCTTGTAATATGCATTTGGCAATTTAAGTTATAAACAAAGTAAAGGGAAATGGTGACAAGTGGTTTAAAATTCAATCGAATCTTGCTTTAGTTTTTTATCACAACCATTCTGATGGATTATATATGATGTCAAGGGACCTATTTTTGGATTAATTGTGTTTTGTGTCATATCCTATACACTTTTCTAACTATCCAATTAATTCTAGTATCATATAGTTTCATTCGAATAACATCTTTAGCAACTCATGTATAGTCCTTTGCTGACATCTAAATAGCCTACCGTTTCTTCCTCTCCAAACCCAGTAGATATAAGCATTCGAAGCCAATCGAAGAACCAATGCTATGAAAGTCTTTCCTTTTAGTTTCGAAATAAGCCATCGCTGCTCCTGCCTCCAAGCCCTTGGTTCTCTCTGCGATGCACATAACTGTAGTATACCCTTTCAAACTTCGTTTGAAAATGAACATTCCATGGTAGGTGATATCTAGTTTCCTGCTCACTCTTACACATTGCACAAGCTTCTTCAACATTCATCCCCCACCTTCTTAGCCTGCTTTTTGTTGGTAACTTGTCAAAATAAGGTACTTATTTTGGAAATTATAAAAAGAAAAACTACAAAAGTTAATTTTATTGCTACAAAATTGCAACTTTTGGGAAGGATTTTAGGCTAGTTAGCAAAGAATTATTAAAGGTAATTTTCCGTCCTTTTATATTGCTCCTCACTATTTTAAATGAAACATACAGAAATTGCTCAAGATTAAGAAGATAATGATGATTATTGCATAAATTAGCTATAATTATCTAATCATTGTTCTATCTCAACTCGACAGATATCTCCATCATCATCTTATTATTATTATTTTTGGAATAATAGCCATCGTTATCTAATCATGGTTCTATCACAACTCTGCAGATATTTCCATCTTCTGGAAGATTGCAATTGGTTGATATGACTGATAGTAGCATTGATGCTGTTATACCAGACCTTCCATCATTTTGGGACCCTAATAGCGTTTTTGAAGTCATAAAATATCCATTATATTTTGGTGTTCTCTTTATCATCTTGTTTTTAGCTGCATGATATTAGGGGGTTTATACACCACTTCAGTTTATTCTTTTTTTTTTTTCAATTTTCAGGTAACTGATTATTTTATAATTGCGGAAGGCATGCCTGAATCAGACCATCCAGGGTTATCTTGTGATGACTCATTATTGCCTCGAAGTATCTTCCAGGGTTTCCCATCGGCGAGAAAACCAAACCTAAAATTGTTTGTCTACTTTCACCTACGTGATGCAACATGCAGGAATTGTCTCATTTATCCATCTGTAGCCTCTGAGGATGAACTGAATGATACCAAAAATGGAATATTTCATCTTATCTATATAACCCGCAAATTTATTCCCCCATGTCATTCAATGAAATTAAAGAGAGCTGTGTTTGTCGAGGCCATAGTCATGCAGTGGTATTTGTTTCTAACTGGAAAAGATGGAAGTATACATCAAGATAAAGTTTTGATAGATTGTACTATTGGTAATCCCTCATATCATTCTTCTAGTAAGAGGCAGAAGACTGATTGTGCATCTAGTCAGTCGGCTCCAGGTTTCGAGGACAGTTTTTGCAGTGTCTATTTTGAGGAAGGCACTTCTTTAAGGGAAACATGTAGGGATCAGAGTTGCATGAGAACAAGCTTTTCTCATGAAATTCCATGCTTGGCTACCATACAAGGTGTTAATAATTTTATCTTCTCAAGTTCAGGGATCTTGTATAGAATAAAAGCCAATGCAAAAACTAAAGTTTGTCAAGGAAGTGTAAAGAAGATTTTTCTGGCTTTTGCATCTGAAAATGATTTGAAGTATCAGGTATTTTTAAATTCTTACTTTTCCCTTTTTATGTTATTATTCATACAACACAAATGATGATGGATTGTTTGTACATATATCTTACTCGTAGAGAAAACCCGTTTTGTTCATTTCCATTTAATTTTAATTGTTGTAGATTGGTGGTTTTCACTTAATGAAACACCATAAAGAAGGTCCTCTTTGTAATATTAAGGATTCTGGTTTGAAAGGTGTTAAAGTTCCTATTACTTCCAGAACATATTTGCGAAGACTTTCATTCTCATATGAGGTTGTTACCACTGATAAATCATTGCATGATTCTTCTCTATGTAATGAAGTCTTTACGAAAGATCAAGTACTGGGTGTTGCCAGCGGTTCTTCAGTTTCAGACATTTATCTTCGTGTCTCTTCAAGTCTAACAGATCTTCTTGAGAGTGATACAAAGGAACTGGGGAACGACCAAACTGCACCAGATGTGAACCTAGGGAACTCGAGTCTTTCTTTGGGCATGAAGACTATATCAATGTAAACCTAGAAGAGAACTCAAGTTCGCTTGGTCATAGTTGCCTCTTTCCTGCTAGAAAATTTACCTCTCTGTGTGGAGATATAATAGTTGTCCACAGTTTTGACCAAGGTTCTTCTGATATGTGCTCGAGCCGTGAGCACAATGGTGATCTTCATCAATACGAGTTTTGTGATAGAACAAAAAATAATTACATTCATGTTTCAGTGGCAAATCAAACCGTAAATGCCTATTATAATCCATGTTCATCTCTTTTACTTCATTATCTGGAGTATTTATGAGTTATCTTATTGCTAAATATTATTGTTTTAGGTGAAGATTTTCGGATTTGTTAACCAGTATTTGTTCCCTACTGGGTTCGGGCCTTGCATAAATGCAACTTTCCATCGGATTCTTGATCTCCGGTATGAAATTTGGGACCCAACTAGTTTACTGCCTTCAATCCTGCACTGTTTCAGGATCCTTTCCTGTTTTCTTTGGTCCTCATTCCCCCTTTTCTTAATGTCCAACAATGAAATTGACCCTTTAACTTGTTGTCATCTTTATATTCTTTATCAATAAAAATCTTCTTGATGATAAATATGGTATTGTTTGAAAGTAATTAGCTAACGAGTTATGGTAAAGGCTACTAGTATTCCTATTTTGTTTTAATTAATGTGGACATGCTCTCTGATTATAAAATTTTATTTATTTTTTGATAATTTTTATGTATTTAACTGAGATGCACACATTTGATACATGAGAATAGACTATGCTCTGTAGGATGATAAAGTTTTGGATTTATTCGGTTTATATGAATATAGTTTTGAAATACAACTAGAAGAATTGGTTGTGGGATTTGAGAATGATACTGAAGATGTTAATTATGCATGCATCTTCTTGGCATTATATTAACAGTCTTGCTTGGGCTGTTTCAGACTCTACCATTCCTTAAACAAGATTAATGTCATCTTTTTAACTTGGTACTGGTTGCAAAGGTCACTATAATATGCCCCAGTAAATGTGGTTATTCTGATCTTACAATTATTCAAGCACTTGAATCATTCATTATTTGACATGCTTGTTAGACCTAAATTGTTTTCTTTAACTTACACCTCGTACTATGTAGTGATGTGATATATATGTCTTGGGTCCAGGCCCAGGGTCCCAAGTACATTGATGTTAACATCCGAATCCAGCATTGTGATAAATTCAATAAGGGTAGTCAATGAAACACACAGCTCAGATGGCAATCTAAGACGATTCGGCTGCAGAGTAAGTTTCAACATTCATTTTAAAGCCCCCTTTTAATGTGTCTCCTAGTTGTTTAACTTATTGTTGGTAATTGGTCATAAATAAGGTAGCCGATGCTCATATCGATCTATCTGTTCATTTTTGTGGCAGGTTGTTGCTGTTCATGTGCTGGTTCTAGAGAAAAGCAACAGGAAATGTGATGACTTAAAATCAAATATGCAATCCAGACCTCTAAGTGTTGATATTCCACTTGCTTGCTTTATATTGGGTGAGTTACCCTCTGTTTAATAGATTATTGATGGAATGTGATGTATTTGTCTATTTGTCTATGCTTCCTGTAGCGTACACAGTTTTTGATCTGCTATTTTCATTCTTGTTATATTTTGTTGTAGTTAGCATTGCTACTTCAAACTTTACTAGGTTAAGCTTTATGTTAGAGGTTCCTAAAGATCAAACTTGGTGGTAAGAGAAGCATGTCCATCTCGCTCATTTCTTTCTTGAAGATTTTACTCTTATCTTCCTTGTGGCTCTTCCGTGTGCATTTCAAGTTTTACTGGTCAGTGGCTTCTATTAAATTTTATTAATGCGTGTTATGAGATTTGCTAATGTCATAATATAGATATGCTGTGCATAAGTTAGGCCATTTGTCTGAGAGCATGCTTTTGTTCAAGCGAAACTGCTTATTGGATGATTGTTCTCTTAAGTTACTTGCTTCTCCCTCCTTCACTGTTCAATAATGTGAAAATTTAAGTGCTGTGATCGGCACTTGTTATTCTCTTTTTACTTAATTTTGCACCTTTGCAAGGTATATTTTTCTGATAACCTTCCCGCTTGCAAGTGTAGATGACAGTTCATGTTCTTGGTGTTGCTGGGCCAATGCTGAGAGGGCAGTAACACTGCTGAGGCTGGAGGAACACCCCCGATCTGGCTGCAAAGCCAGTGGTTACAAAAGGAGGTGGATTGGTGTACAGAACACTGACAGGACCTCTACCATGCAACATCTTCAAAGAATATTAGAGAAGCATGACAGGATTACTGTCAAAAGAACTAGGTCAGTTTTTGATCCTTTTGATCAAGACTTCACTGTTACAGCTTGTTCAGGAAGGGCACTAACTGGCTTGGATGATGATTTCGACCTCCTGGCATCCATAATCTTCAATGCGTGCATCAATACATTCTGGGTGAGTTTATCGGTCTAGCATAATATATTTACATGGCTGAAAGATGTTCTCTAGTATATGTTGAGATGCTTAGTTAAATGACATTTTTTGTCAGTCGACAGACTGTGGTTACTGAAGTGATGGATTCTAATGCAGTCAACCTGATAACAGAACACCTCATTGAAATGCAGATGCCAATGCTGTCCATGGAAAACTTATGGGCCACAGAAGTTTGCTCTGTGAATCAGCGAACTGAGGGCAGAAAAATGATGCAAAACAACTTGTAAAAAGGTAAACTCTCGATGCTACCACATTTTGTACGGGGTAATATATACTCCTTGTTCTCTTAAGGTACATGTATCATTTATATAAATGTTGTTGTCTGATAAGTCGACAAGATCTCTTGTATAGGCTCTAGATCCATGGTAGAACATCCTTGAGCCGGTGTATGGGAACTAGATTTTCTGGCGTCCAACATGGCATTTTGTAATTTCAATTTGGGAATATGCTTATGGTGATATTCCTTGTGTTATTCTAACAAATGCTCAACTAAGTTTTTGTTTACCATCTTGCCAACTGATGATTTTTGCCGATATAATTACCATTTAGTTCATATGAATTATGATCATTCACTCTTCTTTACGCAATAAACCATCAATCAACAATTTTCCAGAAGAAATATCGCTACTCTTGAGATATGAAGCTGTGCTAAATTCTATAGGTCCACAAGCATACGTAAAATTAGTTATATACGATAAATCATTCATTTTTACTTTGTTGTTGTCTAAATTATGATCTACAACATGAGCTGCCAATCGACGCCATTGACAATATAACTCTACCATAAACAGAGCAAGCAGAGAAAAGAAACTAAACCACCTCTACAAACTAAAAGTTAACAAAAATTAACCCTCTGATTCATTTTTTCTGGTAGTTTCATCCCTTTCTTTTTGATCCAACAATCCCCCACCTTCTTCATCTTCACCCTCTTCATCCTTCCTCTCTGCCGCTTCCTTCTCTCCAAGCGCTTTCAACTTCAAATGATTATAATAAGCAACGCCCAAAAATGCCAACCCGTAACCAAACAAATTAACAACGGTCACCGTGTCTTTGATCACCGACCACGAAAAAGCTATCAGCAACCAGTCTTTCACGACGCCAGCGACATTCATGGTCAACGCTGACGTCTTCCCGACCAACAGAAACACCGCCAGGTTCAACGCGAAAGCGCAGGAGGAGTTGGTCCCGAAGACGAAGTAATCGAAATGGAAAGTTGAGTTTTCTTTAAGTAAAGGTAGTTCCACAGAGATCCAGGGAAGAAGCAAGAAAACGAAACAACAAGGAGCGACGTAATAAAGGGAAGTAAGCGGGTTGAGGTTGATTCCTTTTGAAGTGAGGAGTATTTGGATCAAAACCAGCCTCGTGGCTTCAAAAGCAACAGCTCCTAGCTGTAACAAAACACCCCAGGTATCGAATTTGGCTTCTCCATAAGCAGCGATGGCGACACCAAAGGAAATAGCGAGCATGTTAATCATGGTGGAAGACTTGAAAGCATCTTTACGAAAGAGAACGCCGATGGAGTAAACGGCGACCGGCATGAGGGCTTTGAGCATTTGGATGAAGGAAACGGAGAGATAGATGTAGGCGGAGTTGGAGAGCCAAAGGGAGAGGGAGTACAGGGCGCCGATGGGGACAACGGAGGAGAGGTAGAGACGCGGTGTCATAGAAGAAGGGAGGTCGACGACATGGAGGACGCGGACGAGGAGGAAAGCTACTGAGGAACAAAAGCCCATGTGGGTGAGTGTTAGGGAGATGGGGTAAGGCCAGTTGTAGAGCTTTTTGTCAAGGATGAATTTGTTGTAGACTATCACGGTGAAGGAAAGGAAGATCCATATGGCTACGTAGGTGTAAGAGAGGATGATTTTTTTGAGGATGGAAGGGGAGACGATGGTGGTGGATGAGGAGGACGTTCCGGTGGTATCGGTGGCGGATCCCATGGTGGTTGATGGTGGATTTTATTGTAGGAAATACGGTCCGGGCAAGGGTAGAGCGTGTTACTGGCTACAAGGTGGTAATTTTGATGGGGCAAGGACTAGAGAGGTCGGATATAAATATGGAAAATTTTGAGGGTTCTGAACTTCTGAGGCGTTAATTAGGGAATTTTGAATTTGGGTTTGCTTTCAACAAGCTTCGTAGTTTTCATGGTAGAAATGCTTAGAAAGGAAGAAATTTCACGGCAGAAGGATGGATGGACAAATAGTAAGATTACACGTTTATATAGTTTCTTCAACTTAAAAGTTATCCAAGATTGATTGTTTCAAAGTAAACAATGCCATGACTCATACCAACTAATAACAACAAACGCCTCAATCTTCCATCTAAGGTAGATACAATGTGTTCGGCACCACACATTCTTAATATATACATGTACATATAAATCGTAAAATGAATATACATTTTGTACAAAATTTATTTTTTTAAAAAAAATAATTTTTACATAGAAGAGGAAAAATGAGTACTGAATCCACAATTTAAGAGAAATGAGAAATATCAACTAAAAGATTTTAATCAATTATTCTAAAAATTATTAACTATTCCTAATATAATAAAAGTAACATAAACTTGTTTATATATATTAAAATATACCATACCCATATTTGTTTATTAGAATTACCTTTGGACTAATTGTGTAATGTTCTTGAAGTTGACACCAAAGTGATGGCGTGTTTGAAGGATTAATTTTGGCGCACAGAAAATTCGTGTCTCACATTTTGACCCAATACTTGTTAGGCACAAATGAAATTCCAGTGGTGGTTCAACAGATGAAGAGTCCACGTCTCCATACAGTGTTGAGTTTGAAAAATAATAGTAAAATGAAGCTTCAGTGGGCGTGCAAGGTAGAATTTGGCGTCTGAACCCCGCAATTACTGGGGGCAGTAGCCTTGAAAGAAAGCCACCTACCCTCGGTTTTGGACTCCAAAAAGCCGAAAGCCATGGAAATGGAAGTTGCAAACACTATTATCACGGCCTCAAACGTCTAAAACGCCTTTTTATTTGTTCATTTCATGATATTCCGTTAGATCTGAATCAAAACAGTGCCGCATATTAGAATTTTATGGGATTCTATTCACAGTTTAATAATTGCCCTTTAATTTTTATTTCAGACAAGTTGATATACTTAAGAAAGGTCTAAATTCCAAAAGTCCAAAGAGTACGGGGACGGATAGCAAACTTAAACCTTTGAATTCTTAATTCGCTCGGGGTACCATATGCCAGATAAGTACAACTAAAGTTTATATATAAAGTTAAAGGGACTGAAACAACATTTTATCACGTCTTTCATTCTGTTTAATACTGGGTGAAAATTGGAATTAAACAAAAAGCTAGGACACAAACTTCAATTATGTAAAAACCCAACATATATGCTAATTTCATAGAGTAATATATTGTCCGACTCAGTGTTGTGCAACTTTAACCATTTTCTTTCCAATGTTTTGGCCTCTAAAGAGATTGAAAAAAGCAGAGGGGATACTCTCAACCCCATCTGAGATGTCTTCCAACGGCTGAATTTTGCCACTCCAAAGGTGATCACAAGTTGTTGAAAGGAAATCTCCAAAAAGGTTGAAGTAATCACCGGAAAGAAACCCCTGCATCTTGATTCTCTTGTAAATAATGTCCATCATATCCGGTGCCGCTCGTTTTTTGCCATCCGTATACTCCGATATCACCCCACAAACAGCTACCCGACCATTGATGTTCATGTTACTTACTGCTGCTGCTTGCATATCTCCCCCCACATTGTCGAAATATATGTCGATCCCATCTGGGAAATACCTATGACAAGTGCCATTCATTTCGCATTAAATTCTTTACCGTTCAATCTCAATAGAGATAAGTTTATATTATACCATACAAGGGAAATACCTTTTGATCGTTGAGTTTAAATCAGTTTCTTCCCTGTAGTTGAATGCATCATCAAAGCCAAGCTTTTCTTTAAGCAATGCCACCTGCAACGAAATTTGGTATAAAACATTTTAATATTAAAGCTTTAAGGTTAGATTCTTCAAACCAACTAAAACATGAAGGATGAAACCTTTTCTTTGCTACCAGCACTTCCAACCACATAACAGCCTAAAGCTTTTGCAAATTGACCAACCAAGTTCCCAACTGATCCCAAAGCAGCAGAAACAAACACTTTCTCCCCTTTCTTTGGCTTACATATCTCGTAGAATCCAGCATAGGCTGTCAGTCCACTGAACCCTGAAACATGCATACCATGTTGAACAAAAGCAGAGAATTAAGTGGTAATATCCCGATGACATATAAAACGTAACATGCTGCAAAGAGGAGTAAGCATAATTTAACATCAGTGATGAGAAAAAAGAATCTGAGGTTTACCCAAAATCCCAACATGGTAAGACAAGGGAAAGCCCATGGGGTCGAGCTTGTTCAGCATGCCACCGGGTTTTACGACCGTGAACTCTCCCCAGTGGAGGAGGCCGGCAACAATATCACCCTTTTCAAATTTTGGGTTCCCAGAAGCCACAACTTTGCCAACGCCATAGGTATCGATAGCCTGTTTCAAAAAAAAAGTAAATAATGGTCCACAGAGTTTTATAGTTGAACAGATTCTTTTAGTTTTAGCTGAAGGGGGTGGTTTGACTAATATTTTACCTCACCGGGAGTAAAGGCGACTGCATACGTTGATCTCTCTTGTGAGGAGCTATAGCTTTTCATGCGGTTTAACTGGTAAGGGTCGATTGAAACGTAGAGATTTTGGACAATGACTTCATCGGAGTCAGGGTCCAGGGAAAGAGAAAGGGGTGAAGACTTGAGCTCAAAATCAGATTCTTGGGGCGCACCATTTACGTGGTTTTTGATTGTAATGTACCTATTCATAACTTCCATTTGAAGCCTTGGAGCTCTTTCTTTTGTGCTTCCGAATCTTAATAAACGGAAGATATCGGAATTATTGCTGAGAGTACACCTAGCGTTCTATTGTTGTGCGTTCAGCATTCTCAGCCCAAAAATTCTTATCAGCAACAGAAGCAATGCCGTGTCAAAAACACGGTAGAAAATTGATTTTTCATCAAAGCCACATGGACATCCCCCAAAATTCTTTGCTTTTGCACCACAAAAGTTATGTTCAAATTATATTTTTACCCCAACTCATGTATACTGAATATAAATAAATTTATAAACAATTTATAATGTCTCTGTCAATATATATAATTTTAATAGATTAATATTTATACTTGCATGTATCACAGTTGTTTTTTTGTCAACTTTTTTACACGTATAAATAAGTTACAATTTATTTAAATTTATTATAAATTCATACTTATTATATTCATATCTAATTTTAAATATAATGATAAAATTAGTACATAACTTTTGATAAAATTATCAATTTGATTCATATTCTTTTTAATCTTTAATATTTTATTTTGAGACAAAATACCTCTTGATTGATTGAAAATTACTAGATGACTAACAATCAATGCTTTTTACTAATTAGGCATGTCCTTGTGAGTTGAAATGCAGATGTAGCATGTACATATGTGTTGTCATGTCAACAAAATTAATTAATTCTAATTATGTATTTTTTTGTTAAATTAATTAACTTTCAATCAAATTTTGGTACGTGGCACCATCCAAATGGTCTAAAAGAAAATGAGTGGGATGAAACAAATAATCCTTTTCATGGGATTTGATCCACTTCTGGTGGAAGGATGGCTTAACGTCTAATATTAAATTATATATTATATTTAGATTTAGATTTATAACATAAACATTAAATTATTTTTATTTTGAATATTTTTAAGTTTCTTCAAAATATTTTGTTTCAGCTATTCAAATATATAATTAATATATTACCCTTTCATCTACAATTAAATTAGGATAAAAACTAAAAAATAATATTTAGATAATTAAAAATGTTTGAAAACAGACACCTAGTACTGGGCCGTATCTACCATTCAACCCATTGTAGAAATGGAAACAGTATTGGTTCCAAACCCAGACGGACCACTGCATGAGTTGGTCTTTTTCTTCTCTTGTAGTCTACGAATCCCAAGTTTGATGAATGTAAATATTCCAAGATACTGGCACTTCTCATGCACCATTCAACCATTTGTCTTACGACCGTAATCTTGGAAGTGTTTTTTCTCCTCAGTGCTTAATTGCAAGGTATTCCACTGTTCCGTTGACGAATCCTGTGGCATCATTATTAGCAAAACGCCAATACCAGCTTGATACAGTTGGTGCTTGTTTTGTTGCATGGTAGATGGGAGATTTTATGTGGGAATTGTTATGGAATATCTGATTTTATTTGTGGGATTTATGAGAGCAGTTGATGACTGATGTGATCAGCAAAAAGCTGAAAATTTCAGGATCTTATTTTGTAACTCTGTTTTGCTTCTTCGGTCAATGCTTTTAGTTTATGGAAAGTCTATATAACATAGGTTGTATAAAATAATTATGAGTCTAAATTATCATCGGAACTTACAACGAAACAGAAACATTCTGGTAGAGAATATGAAAGCATTTTCAGCAGATGTTTTTTATTGATATTACGAATTATAAATTTATTCGAGTATTTGAAGGACATGGTATATTCGGGATTAACATGATATACTTGTTCATTTTGGGTTGCGCTAGTATTTGATCTTTGAAGTCCGCGACAAACAATGCAGGTAGGAGTTAGGTCAAAATGAGTCGAAGGATGTACCTGTAAAATTTGAATGATTTCTGAGTTTCTTCCAAACAACGGTCCTTGTCATCTCTAGACCAGTTCTGAACCATCATAGGTGAGGTGTTATTCATAAAATTTACAACTGTTAAAAAGAGAGAAGGGAAAGCTTTGCAACAAATCAAAGAAAATTACCTCAGCAACTTTATTCAGCTTATCCTTTACATTTTGTAACAGCTGGCAAAGGTCACCGTCCCACTTATAACACTCCAACTCCTTGTTCTCCGGGATCTCCTCGGTTATCTGATACAAAGAGGGGGTCAGAACGGAGATAATTCAATATTCGTTATTCAGATAAATAATTTTAAATAATATAAAAATCAATTATAAATAAATGATTGCTATATATTATGAAAACGTGTAAAATTATTATCCCTAGGCTAATATAAATAGGTTTTAATATATAAATGGGTGTTAATAAGGTAATTAAAATTTAGTATACCTTCTTGGAAATGATACGACCACCGGATGAGTTGGCAAAATAAACGTTGTAGAAATGGCATATGAAAGCTTGAGGGTCCTTGTCAGATAATTGTTTGAGATACTGAGCATAAGTAATACCAGGAGCTGACGGTTCTCCAACTGCATACCCTTTCTCTCTGAACCACTCTAAATCCTTCGCCAACTTTTCAGACCTCTCCAATCCAGTGTTTCTGAATTCAGCATCTGCACCATTATGCAACATTCATTTCACTTACCATTTATCACAATTAATCATTCATTTTCACTCCAACGATCTAATGTATATTACGATTTCCGAGTAAATCAAAAGTTTTTAATGGCTAAAACAGAAAACTTCACTTACAGCTAGGAAAAGAAGCCTTATCAATAATCTCCTCAAGCGTATCATAAACCAACTTGCTATCCACAAGGAACTTCAAGTAGCCATCCAGAGTAGGTTCCCAATTCTCTACGGGCTGTTCCTCTGGCGCTTTCGCTTCCATTTCTCCTTCCAATGCTTGCTGTCTCGTGTGCAATTTCATAGCCACGAACCTCATCTCCTCCACAAATCCTTTGGTCTCTCCTTCAGGGTACCTCTTCCATGGCTTCTCGGACGTCACCGCCGATACCACAACGTTCCTGGTAACCATGCCGGTAAATTTAAGAAGCTGAAATTTGGAATATGGGGAGTCCTTCCGGATAACACTGGAGGAGAAATTGGGTGATGGAAGGATACTAGGGTTTGGTTTTTTAAAAAGAAAGCGGCATTGTGTACTTGGGGCCAGAGACGCCATTGAAAGAGAGATTACTTGCTTTTTCCAAAAGGATTAAAAATGCTTGAATTGGAAGTTCAAGTACTCGTCTTGAAGGCTAAAGCTCTTACAGGGTATACTATATATAGAAATTTAACTGATGAACACATAAACGAGATGTGTAAAAACAAAATTAAAATAGGTAAAATACTAAAATAGTCCTCCAATTATAAAGCATGTTTTGTTGAATCTCCCAACTATATAAAATTTAAAAATGATTATTAGACTTTAAAATAACAAATGAACCTGTTGCCATTTAAAATTTAACACTGATAACATTATAATTAATTAAAGACTAAAGTACACATCATCTATAAGATATTGCTTTGTTGAATCCTCTAACTATTAAAAGTTACAAAAAGATACGTCGACTATAAGGAGTTGTTTTGTTGAGTACTCCGACTATTAAAAGTTATAAAATAGTCACCTGAGTATTCTTTATGTTCCCAAAACGTCATTTTTTGTCATAAAATTAACTGCCATTTAAGCTGCACATTAACATGCTAACTGAGATATGATAGTTGTTTGAGATTAGATTTTATCATATCTCAGTTAGCAATTTAACGTCCAACTCAGGTTGTCATTAATTTTTTAACAAAAAATGACGAGTTTGTAATATAATGAATAGTCAAGAGACTCAATAAAGCAACTCCGTGTAGTTGAAGGATTATTTTGTAACTTTTAATTGTCAATGGACTCAACAAAGCATTATCTTATAGTCGGTGGACCATTTGTGTACTTTACCATTAGTTAAATTGGTATAACAATAAATTTAACCTTCAACTTTTATATTTTAAGATGAGACTACTTTAAAATAAATGTCAAAATTAAGGGTTAAATATATTATTATATTAAATATATCAATTATCACGTGTTAAATTTTTTATGGTAATTATTAATTGTATTCAATTGAATGTCGATTTTATAACTTCTGTAGTTGGGAGACTATAATTGAAGGGTTATTACTAGTGAAGTTCGTAGAATGCGGACTTATTTAACTATAAATATAGTAGGACTCCTTTAAGTAAACTTCATATAATACGGACTTTTTAACTGCTAATAAAATATAAGGACTCGTCTAAAAACGTGTGATAGTTTAAGGACTTTTATAAGATATTAGCCAAAAGAACGCATCAATTATTACACTGGATGAGGTTTAACTAGTATTGTATTTATGGCATATGTGAACTGAAATATTCGTATTTTTTTATATTTTAAATATTTTTTTATGGTGTAGATAAACTATACAGGAGAGGATCCTTTTGGCCAGAATATGATATGATGAGGTGTGATATGCGATTAATCAATTCTTGTAGTTGAGTTCCAAGGGTATTAATAAATCCTTTTATATTCCAACGATTTTTCGGATCATCACGTATTATTTATATTATCTTTATGTTATGGGCTCAAAACTAGAAAAGGAACAGCAAATTAAATTATTTTATAATGAGAAATACAGTTGTTAGTATATATTATTTTAGTGATTTATTATATGCAAAAGAAACAGAGTTAGATGCATATATAAATGAATAATTTAGTAAAAAAAGATAAATTTTTTCCCGTTTAAACTCACATTAAAATAAAATTTTAAACATGATCTTACAAACACAAATAAAATCTCATTTAACAATATTACTCAAAAAAATAAAAGTGCGTAAAAAGATTATACTGAACAATTGTGCCACGTTAATATATGTTATTTTATTTAAATTATGTTATGTTTTTTTTTAAAAAAAATAATGAGTATTTATTATATAAGAATAATAAATTAATTTAAGAATTCATTGATAAATGATAAAATTCTTTGTGATCACATAATATGAGCTGGTTTGAGGCATCGTTAATAATATACGATCACATAAAAAGTGAGAAATGACGACGACGTAGCGTAACTGTTTATACGAGTTTTTATAACGGGAAAGATATGAGTTGATTTTCAATCATTGAGATTTGCATCTGATCGGATCTTGCCTTTTATATATATTAGCCTTTATTTTATACTTGGTGCTGTATGCTGAACTTGACTGAGCTGGTTTCAGGCATTGTTTATATACATATATATAAACACTATTATTTTAAACGGTACATATACTAAAACAACTTCCTACTTTATGTTTGGTCTAAAATAAGGAAAAAAATGAAGAAAGAAAAGTTATTTGATTTTACTTCGCTGTTAATCATTTTTTAGGGTGAAAGTAATTTTTTTAAGAATCTTCGTAAATATTATCTTAATTAATAACAGTACCAAATCACCAATCAATTCTGTGGCGGCAAATGCATTTAATCACTAAAATCACCCTACTCACGTGTTAAAAATGTTCATATAGAGTTATTAAATGATTGGGTATAATAGTAGTTTTCTTTGAAATAAAAGGATGTTATTGAGTTTAAATTTAATTAAAGTTGTTGCTAGTATAATATTTAGGAGATTGTAGTTTTGTAAATTTAAATATATATAATATTTTACTTTTTATTTTCTTTATAGAAGTCGCTCTTTTAATTAAGTATATAAAATATTCGAATTACAATAAAAATTTACAACCACAATCTTAACTAAATATATAATAAGAATATTATCGTATATATAGCCATTAACACAAGAAAATTAGTCATTTAAGATTACATAAGAACCATAAAAGAAAAAAGTTAAAAAATCATAACCAGATAATATCGATCAAAAGATAGATAAGAAGATATCTAATTGCATAAACAAACGGACAACAAGAGGGGATCAAGTTTACAAATCGCAAATCAAAGTTGAGCAATGTGAAAATACTATATACGAACAAAAATCACATATCCAAATCTAATCCGAAGATCTAAAACATGGAATATCAACATGATAACAAATAAGTATCATCTTGATCAGTCATTGTGATGTCAAATCCAACCCTAAGAAAAATGATTAATAAAAACAATGACCAAACAATCAAAATCGTGTTACAAAGGTAAAAGAAAACGTACAATAAATGTAGATAAAAACGTATCATAAAGATAAAATTATTAAAAGATTAAAAATAAAAAAAAGTAAAAAAATCTCTATAATAAAATAAATTAAAAATAATAAATACAGACATTCAACGACCATTATCAAAATTGGTGTTGTCGCCTATCATAAAGATAAAAAAAACTAATGACAAGAAAAAAAAAGAGAAAACTAGAGCAAACCTAATACATAAATTTAATCTCATAAATTAAAATTATTAAATTATCAAGAATTTAAGTTAATATATAATATTTTATTTTTTAAAATTAGAGATTATAAGTAATTTTATGTATTGTATAAAAATAATTTATCAATACGAAATGATAAAGTTATATGTAGAGTACGAGCTTTTAAAATTTATATTATAAATTTAGAGTATAAAGTTAGAAAAAAATTTAAAAAAAAAAACGAAAACATATAAATTATAAAAATATAAAAATATTTAATCTATATAAAATTATAAAATTTCAAAAATTACACAATTCTTCTAACCCCTTATCGATCGATCATGTTTCATTGTACAATGTGGGCCACTTGTGTAATTGACTGTACCCTGATTTAAAGGTAATTGGAAACATAAAAGCTTTATTAGTCAAATTAATTTCACTTTTCGAATTATTTATGGTATACATACTTGCTATTGCATTTTATATTAAAATATTTTTAGAAAATCAAATATATTACTAATTTATTTAATTTGAAATTTTTTATATTATCTTACCCAAAAAATATATTGTTATTAATTTAGAATACGATTAGATAGATTAAAAATTTACATAAAAAATAAGTGTAATTATATTTTTAAATTTCATAAAAAAGTTTAAACATATTAAAATCCAACAAGAACTATAAAAACATGTGAAATTAAATCAGAAACGTTTGATTTACGTTATATAATATCATCTTTGATAATATTATTAGAATGTAATAATAAAGTCTGAGATATGCTATATTACCACGTTTAATTCTTTTATTTATTTTTTATTAATATAAGATAAATACAAAATAATATATATTCAAACACTCTCAATCATTTAACAATGAACGCTTATAAACTCGTGTATATGTGATGCTCAAACCTAAAATCTCAAGGGATTAAATAATTCATTGACCACTGGAATCGCTTGATTTGTGCACGTTTAATTTTTTAGGTTGAATGTAAACATCACTTCTATTAAAAAGATAACAATATGCATAATAATAATTTAATAAAATATATATTAAAATTATTTAAAAATAAATAATATTGAAATTACTAGCACAATATAGTCTTCTTTATAAAGATATAAAAATATATTTTTATAATATAAGATTATTATTATTAATAATATTAAATTTGGTGAATCATATATTCATTTATATTAAAACAAATTCTTATTGCAACTAGATCCATTTACTATTGCAACTATTTCTACGTCTATTAAAATAAGTTTTTAGTGTTCCATACTATCGCAACTAGATCCACTTATATTAAATAAGTTATCAGCCTTACAAGCTATTGCAAATAGATCCACTTGTATTAAAATAAGTTTTTAGTCTTATATACTATTGCAAATACATTCGATTTTTAAAAAATAGAAACAACTAATTTTATTAAAAATAGAAAAAATATAAATTATAATGAAGGTTTATAATCATAACTGTAAACTAAACACATGGACATTTTTTTTATAATCATTCACACAAGAAAATTAGCCACTTAAATTACTAGAGGACCAACAAGGAAAATGTTATAAACCTAACTAAATAAACTCGAACAAAAGGTAGATATGAATAGATCTGATCGCATTGGAAAATGAACTACAAAAAGAGATTAAGTTATTGAAAGACACCAACAAATCGTAAATTAGAGTCGAGCGACATGAAAAAATTATACATGAACGCAAATCACATGTCCAAATTCAGTTTGAGGGTCCAAAGCAAGGAAGATCAGCATGATAACAAATAAGCATCATCTTGATCAATCATGGCGATGTTAAATCCAAACCTGAGAAAAAAGATAAACATAAACAATGACCAAACAATTGAAAACATGCCATAAAAGCAGAGAA